CTGAGCCAAACCGGTTTCGGCCCAGAGGCTCCTTACACTATGCTCGCATTTTTGGATTCTTTTTTCATTTTGCTTTTCCGGTTGGGTGTTTTTTGCTTCCTCGCATTTCAAATCATTGACTTGATTCTTGCGCTCCTCTGGTCTGCTGTCAGGAGTCTGTACAATATTCGTTATTTCAGTCCGTGTATGCTTAATTTCTAGTTGGTTCCCCAATATAAGATCGAGGGTCTTATTAGTTTTCTTGTAGATCTCATTAAGTTTATCGGCGGCTTCTAAACAGTTCTTGAGAGACCTTAAAAGTGTGGTTCTGAACTCTATATCTTCCATTGACAATTTTGTCCTGTTTCTTTGTCTCCGCATTTTGTTATGCTTTCTTGGTGCACCCCCTAGTGGTCTTTGTGCGCAGTCTTATAGTTAAATCTTGATTGTTGTAGCTAATTCCAGGGAGGGTTTGACCTCCAGGCCAAGTGGCTATGAGAATCAGCTGTGTCAGCAGTGAGAGAACTTCTGTCCTCTAGGGAGGTGCTAATCTAGCCTTTGCCTGAGGCTATCTGGCAAAAGCCTCTGTGCAGGGCTTGGGCGGGGCGGGTCGCACAGGATCAACAGGGTGGGCCGGAGAGAGCAGTTATGGCGGCTCTCAGTCCTGTCCCCAGGGGCTCTGCCTCTCTGAGTCCCAGCACCCGCTGCAAAGCTCAGAGAGAAAGCTGCACTCGCTCTGACCGAAGCCAGACAGTCCCGCTTCTCCCGTTTGAGTCTGGGTCCCTAAAGACTCGCCTGTATCTGGAGCTCAGAGTCTGCGACTCCCTCCCGATTGAAAACGCCAACCGCGCCCTCCGCCGCCAGCCCGCTCCGCGCACTCCACACCTCAGAATTTGACTTCAGCACTGTGCCTCCTCTGAGTGTCCGTATGCGTTTCTCTTTCCTCCTAGTTGTAGGACTTCCACTCAGCCAGCGTTCCTGTGGTTCTGGGTGCTGTCCCTTCCGTTTTTTGGTTTCACTTTTGAAGTAGTTGTTCAAAGCAGCAAACTCCGGCGTTAACCTATGTCGCCATCTTGGTTCTCCCCACTTATATCCCATAGTTTTTTTTTAAACTATAGTCCAACCCTCCAACGGTCTGAGGGACAGTGAACTGGCCCCCTGTTTAAAAAGTTTGAGGACCCCTGCGTCAGACCGTCTTCGTGAATTAGTCCACCTCACAGGGTATTTGTGTCGAAGGCTGATGGAGACCTGACCATCCTCCTACAGATATGCTTTAGCATGAAATGCTTCTCTATAATGTTCACGCATGTGGGTAGCCCGCGCGTGTACGTACAAATGAGCAGCAGTCTGCATGTCTCTGAGTCTGCATCAGGTTTCACAGATTCTTATCAGCATCGTCTCCATGAGCGGTTGCTCTGGTAGAGACACTGTGTCAGGGTTAGTCTTCATATCCAGGACCCTAAGAAATGGCTAAAGGAAAGACTGGTTGTCTGTCCTTCACCAGGTTACACCACCTTTAGGGACACCTCTATTCTCTCACTCTTTTGTGGGCTTCTCACCAGGTTTCCAAACCGAAGTACTAGCTGGCTGAGGCCAACCCCATGTGCCCGGCCGGGGCTCTGCGTCCCTCCATTCTCACCAGCCATTCGTCCCCGAGAGGAGCCTCACTGAGCTCCCCACCACACTCCCAACTGAGAGCAGCGGAACCCTCTCACCACCACACCCAGCCTTCCTGCAGAAGTGGTACCAAAGCCAGATTGCTCCTTCCCCAGAAAGGTTCTCACTCGGTTCAGAGACCAGTTCCAAAGTCAGAATTAGTGCTGGTGATAGGCTGAATAATGGCCACCCAACCTATCTGGAAAGAGGGTCTTTGCAAATGGTACGAAGGTAAAGATTTTGAGGTGAGATTATCCTGGGTTATGTCAGTGGGTCCTACATGCCATCACAAGTGTCCTTATAAGAGAGAGGCTAAGGGACATGGAGGGAGCGAGGGAGGGAGAGAGAGAGAGAGAGAGAGAGAGAGAGAGAGAGAGAGAGTCAAAGAGAGACCAAGAAAGAGAGAGTGGTGCTGATGAGGGTTTGGATGATAAAGAACTCTCCTGTTGTCACAATGATGGCGAGACCACCTCTGGCTGCACATGGTCTAGCCACTCGGGCTTCCCTACGAAAGAGAATGCATCATTTAGATTGACAGGGACCTTCTGAGATCATTATGTTTCCTGTGCATTGGCACATTTGCACGTTAGAGTCAGCTGAGTCTGGCACACTGAGCCAGTCTCCTCGGGTGTAGTCAGCGATAGTCACTCATGACAGGGACATCAGAAAAGTGCCACCGGCAGGAATATTTAGCAAGTGTTCAAGGTGCTGTCTATACAGGGTTGAGTGGGGAGAGAGTAGGAAGGGAGGGAGGAAGCACTGCCATTCTTCCAAGTTGCTTTGGGAATTTCTCCTTGCAAGCAAAAGATAAGAAAGGAGAGGTCATCCTTAAACCAGAAGCTCAAAGTGTAAGACAGACAATAACATCTCCAACAGAGGAATCCACTGAAGAACAAACAAATGAAACGAAACGCTTCCTGTGAAGGCCCTCTGGCCCCAGTTTGCGGGTAGTCATTCCACTCCCTGAGCCCGTCCCGTTACAGCGACACTGGGGACGTCCCTGTGATCTCATGGGAACAGTTTTGATGTACAATGTGGAGATCATTCAACAAACCAAACTGACCTTCATCCCTTCAAATGAAAATAACAATAACCACAGCACTGGACACTGTTACAAGTTCTCCTATGTGGCCCATTTGCCCTTCAGCAAGAAGTTATCTTTGTTGGTGAAGACCCAGAGAAAATTAGGAGCAAAGTCGGGACTTGAACTAAGTTTCTGGATTCCTACAACCCCACATTTCCCCCCTCTGGTCATGGAGACTTCTGTAGAGAAGGAAGAGGAGCAGGAGCAGGAGGAGGAGGAGATGGAGGAGGTGGAGGAGGAGGAGATGGAGGAGGAGAAGGGGGAGGTGGAGGAGGAGGCTGGGGAGGCAGTGCGGGTCCTGGAGGGGCCGTGCCTGGAGGCATGCGTGCAGCTCTGGAACAGTACGAACCACCTTGTAGCTGGTCACCCCTGACCTTAGCCGCTGCCTTCTGCTGCCCTGTAGAATGGCTTCTGCAGCCAACATGCCAGGTTGTCCCCCTTCCCACTCCCTTGCACAGGTAGCTGATGGAGACCTGACCCACAGAGAACCACTTCAAGGGAAAGAAAGAAGCTGACATGGATGGAATTAGCCTGGATGCCCAGCACAGCCCGTCTGTGACCAGGAGAAGGTCACTGGGTGATTTTGGTCTGTGCAGGCAGCAGATGGCAAACTCCAATAGCGCCTGGGCAGAGGGTGGGCATTGATTTACCCAAGAAGCCCCTGGACAGTGGGGGCAGTGGGAGGGCCCTGGAGTCCATAGCTTTGCCTTTGGCAGCTGCACAGAAGACACTGCACATGCACTGGATGCAAGGGTCGCTTCCCCACGGGGTGCCTGCTGTAGGCCCCCTAAGGGCCACCAGACCTTGCTCCACAACACCATGGCTTCACCACTGTGGCAACTCTGCCGTGACCCTGAGCTGTCACCTGGTGGCTTAAGAGCCCCACAAGCACCCACTCTCCAAGGACACATGTCCCATTGGGGAGAGGATGGCTGGGGGGTTAGGGGGCAAGCAGCACCAGAATTGAGCATGTTTCAGAATCCTCAGGGCGTTGCAGGGGAGGCTGACGAGGTGCCATTGGGGCTCATGTGGGTCCAGGCATCTCACTGCCAGCATCTCTGAATGGGCGTGAGGAGCCTGTGGGAGCGGATGGGACGGAGACTGAGCTGAGGTTAGACGCTACCAAGTGTGGCAACCAAGTGTGGTAAAAGGAATGTGTCAGCCCAGTTAGAAATCAGTGTGCACTCTGACCAGGGGCGTTGTAAGGACTTCCTGCCAATTCTGGAGGCTTTCTGGACAGGACCAGCCTCAGCGTGTGGGACTCACGCAGTCACACGGGGACCACGCTCAGAAGGACCGCAGTTGCTTTTACACTCTCATCGTCCTGAAATTTTCACTAGCGTGGCCACGGGCCCATGTTTTCCTGCGCACTGGGTCTCCCAGATGCTGGCGCTGGCGCTGTCTCTGGGTCATACACTGACGGACGGGGCTGCACTCTTAGGGCATCTGGTCTTCATTAGCTTCTCTCTCTCCTGACCCAACTGGGAACCACAGGGCCCACCTGGTACTGAGCAGTATCGGGCCTATACCAGGTCCCAATGAACCCACATGCTCAGGCAACGTCCGCTTGGCTCCATGGTTCATTAATCCATCAACAAGTCTTCATAGGCAGGAGGAAAAAGGCAGAGCTGCTTTATTACTAGGCTGCCTTGCAATAATAATCTCTTAAAAGTAAAAAGTGAGCCCTAGCTGGTTTTGCTCAGTGGTTGCTGGCTTAATCCCCAGTAAGGGGCATGCAGAAGGCAGCCAATCAATAATTCTCTCTCATCATAGATGTTTCTTTCTCTCCCTCTCCCTTCTTCTCTGAACCTCTCTGAAATCAATAAAAATATTTTTTAAATATATTTTATTGATTTTTTTTTTTTTTACTGAGAGGAAGGGAGAGGGATAGAAACATCGATGAGAGAGAAACATCGATTCAGCTGCCTCCTGCACACTCCCTACTGGGGATGTGCCCACAACCAAGGTACGTGCCCTTGACTGGAATCGAACCTAGGACCCTTCAGTCCGCAGGCCGACGCTCTATCCACTGAGCCAAACCGGTTAGGGCTCAATAAAAATATTTTTAAGTAAAAAGTGAAAAATTAGTTCCAGCAATAACTATCTCTGCGAGACCTCCATTAGGGTCAAGCTGAAGGGAAGCCATAACCTGGCCAAGGGTTAAAGGTGAGAACAGTGCACACAGATGCACCATCCTGGGCAGACGTCTCCCACGGGCGGTCTGGCCCTGGCAGCGTAGGGTTGGAGCATTCATGCCGCTCCTTCCACTCTCTCCCGACAGGCGTGAGCAGTGCCGAGGCTCGCCAGCCGGGGAAGTCTTCCCACTTCAGTGTGAACTGGGTCGTGGGCAGCGCCGATGTGGAGGTCCTAGATGCCACCACGGGGAGGCGGAGCTGCGGGGGCTCCTCCCGGCTCTGCAAGCACGTGCTCTCTGCCCGGTGGGCGCGGCTGTACGGAAAGGTGGGTAACACAGCCAGCCTAGGGCTCTCGCCTGTACACAGGCCAGGGGCCCGAAGAATGCCATGGGGCCTGCAGCCAGTGGGACGTGTGGCACAAGAACTGGCCCCAGGTCTGCTTCCTTTTCCCCGGCTCACCACAGACTTCTGCCAGGCCGGGCCAGGCCAGCAGCCTTGAGAAGTCAGATGGAAAAGGGGCTTGTTCGGGACACCTGGGGTGGCCAGCACAGGGCAACATAGAAAAGTCCATAGAAGGCTTTTCAGTTTAGATATAAGGAAACTGGTGCTCAGGAAAGGGGGGCGATTTGCCCAAATGATGCCGGTAGTGAGGGCCAGAGAGGGGTTGCCTCTCCTCTCCAACCCTGGAGGCTGTGCATTGCTACGGCACCAATTCTGGGCTTGCTTTCTCCTCTGTGAATCGTGTAATGACGACATTTCTGGGTTCTAAATTGTGATATGCATTTCCATGTGTTTCCAAAGCATAGCAGATTGTAACCAAAAAAAAAAAAGAAAAGAAAAACACATTAAAACTGCTGTGCTGGTCGTCCCACTTTCTTATCCGGGGAAAATGTGAGCTGTGGCTGACTTAGCCAGTAGAAGAACAGGACGGACAGGCCTGCTGAGGCTTCAAATAAACACTGTGTCCACTCAGGACCCTGAAACGGCACATCTCAGCTCTTAGCCTGGCAGTGACCCTGGCAGTGACCCTGGCAGTGACCCCGGCGGCACGCGGGCCCTGGGAACCTGGCCTGCTCTGACCCTGCAGCCTGGGAAGCCTGCCTCTTTTCCCGCCTGCTCTGGGCACTTTGCACGTGTCCCTTCTACCCCCTGGTGGGGACTGGAAGGTCGGAGCAGGCCGTCGGTGCTGTCTTACTGAACAAAGAGGCCTCTTCTTCTGCCCTGGCTCCAGGTGATGGTGGCAGCAAATGGGTGGGCTGGTCTCTACTCACCAAGCACCCTGAAGGGGGATTGGGAGACTTTGATCTCTTGCCCTCCCTGTGCACCCTGACCTCCCTGCTGGGTGGGTAGTCAGGCCCCAATTGATCCCACCTTATGTAGGCTGCCCAGCTGTGCCTATCATGGAATTCTAGACTTGCCTGATAATTCTAATAGTTATTTTTAGAATTAATAATTAACTGTAACTAATACAGGGAATGTTTTTTGGAATGTTATGTGATATTTTACTTTATCAGTGGGTCAATTTAGGGAGAATGGGTATTCTGTTTTTAACAGCTTTATTGAGGTATAACTGACATAAATATTGCATACAGGGTGAGGCAAAAGTAGGTTTATGGTTGTGAGTACATGAAACACAGTTTGTTCTTGCATTATTATTTATTACTAGGGGCTGGTGCACGAAATTCATGCACTGGGTGGGGGGGGGGTGTCCCTCAGCCCAGCCTGCCCCCTCTCACATACTGGGAGCCCTCAGGCGTTGACCCCCATCACCCTCCAATCGCAGGATCGGCCCCTTGCCCAGGCCTGACACCTCTGCCAGAGGTGTCAGGCCTGGGCAGGGGACCCTCATTTCCCCCCATCACTGGTTCTGCCCCAGCCCAGGCCTGATGCCTCTGGCCCAGGCATCAGGCCTGGGCAGGGGACCCCCAGACCCCTCCGATTGCTGGCTCTGCCCCTGGCCCAGGCCTGATGCCTCTGGCCCAGGATTCAGGCCTGGGCAGGGGACCCCCCTCACCCCCCCCCATCACTGGCTCTGCCCTTGCCCAGGCCTGATGCCTCCGCCAGAGGTGTCAGGCTTGGACAGGGGACCCCCATCTCCCCCCATCACTGGCTCTGACCCCGGCCCAGGCCTGATGCCTCTGGCCCAGGAATCATGCCTGGGCAGGGGACCCCCATCTCCCTCTGATCGCTTGCTCCACCCCCCGCCCAAGCCTGATGCCTCTGACCCATGCTTCAGGCCTGGGCAAGGGGACCATCATATCCCCCCAACCCCCGGCTCCGCCCCCTACCCAGGCCTGATGCCTCTGGCCCAGGCATCATGACTGGGCAGGGGACCCCCAACTCCCTCCGATTGCTGGCTCTGCCTCCCTCCCAGGCCTGATGCCTCGGCCAGAGGAGTTGAACCTCACGAGTTGAGGGCGTGAGTGCGGTCGGACGCCACAGCCGCCCCGCTGGCCCGCGTCCAGGTCTGCCGGCGGGATCGGGTCCCGGGCGACCACCGGCACTCACGCCCCCAACCCACTCTCGGATGGCGCTGTACCATCCTGCCTGCAATATGCAAATTAGCCGCCATCTTTGTTGGCGGTTAACTGCCATCTTAGTTGGCAGGTAATTTGCATATCTCGCTGATTAGCCAATGAAAAGGGTATCGGTCGTACACCAATTACCATTTTCTCTTTTATTAGTATAGATTGTACTAGAGGCCTGGTGCACAAAAATTTGTGCATTCGAGGGGTCCCTCAGTCCGGCCTGGGCCCCCTCAGGGGATGTCCACCTGCTGGCTGAGGCCCACTCCCCGGGGTATCAGGCCTAAGCTGGCAGTCAGACATCCCTCTGGCAGCCCGGCAGCCCTTCGGGGGATGTCCACTTGCCAGCGGGGAGCAGGCCTAAGCTGCAGTCAGACATTCTTAGTGCTGCTGGGGCGGCGGGAGAGGCTCCCTCCACCACCGCTGTGCTGGCAGCCATCAGCCTGGCTTGTGGCTGAGCAGAGCTCCCGCTATGGGAGCACACTGACCACCAGGGGACAGCTCCTGCATTGAGCGTCTGCCCCCTGGTGGTCAGTGTGTGTCATAGTGACCAGTCATTCCCAGTCATTCTGCTGTTAGGGTCAATTTGCTTATTACCCTTTTATTATATAGGATAGAGGCCTGGTGCATGGGTGGGGGCTGGCTGGTTTGCCCTGAAGGGTGTCCCGGATCAGGGTGGGGGTCCTGCTGGGGTGCTTGGCCAGCCTGGGTGAGGGTCTGAGGGCTGCTTTCAGGCTGGCCACACCCCCTTCAGGATTGGGGTCCCCACTGGGGTGCCTGGCCAGCCTGGGTGAGGGGCTGAGGGCTGTTTTCAGGCTGGCCGTACCCCCTTCAAGGTGGAAGTTCCCTTCTGGGGTGCCCGGCCAGCCTGGGTGAGGGGCTGATGGACATTTTCAGGCTGGCCACGCCCCTTGGCGACCCCAGCTCCCAGCCTCTCCTTTTTTTCTTTTCTTTTTTTTCTGGGATTTATTTATCTCCTATAATTGAAACTTTGTAGCCTTGAGTGGAGCCGAGGGCCGGCCAGGGCAGGCAGGAAGCTTGGCTTCCTCCATCACCAGGGGCAACCCAAGCCTCCTGCTCACTTCAGCTCCTTGGCTGCTACCATCTTAGCTGTGTTAATTTGCATACTCACTCCTGATTGGCTTGTGGGCGTGGCTTGTGGGCGTGGCTTGAGTGTAGCAGAGGGATGGTTAATACGCATGTTTCTCTTTTATTATATAGGATTCTTTTCCATGCAAATAACTGTAAACCTACTTTTGCCCCATCCTGTATATTTAAGGTGTACAATTTGATATTGTGATGTAGATACTAGTATATGTGAAATGACCACCACAATGGAGCTAGCACATGTAGAAGCTCCACAACCTTACTATTTGTGAGTGTATGTGTGTGTGTACACGCAGTGAGAAAACTTAATCTAAGATCATCCCTCTCATAAATTTCAAGTATATTGAAACAGATTGTAACCAAGAAAATTAAAAAATAAAAGCAGAAGGTGGAACCAGGAGCTAACGTTTGCTTGTCACGCTTGTGCGGCTGTGCCGTTCGCCTTGGGGCTCTGCCTCTGCTCGCTTCTCACTTGTCCTTTCTCACTCCTGTCCCACAGCTGAGCACGCGGATACCGAGCCACGGAGACACGCCGTCCATGTACTGTGAGGCCAAGCTGGGGGCGCGCACCTACCAGTCAGTTAAGCAGCAGCTGTTCAAAGCGTTTCAAAAGGCAGGCCTGGGCACCTGGGTGCGGAAGCCGCCTGAGCAGGACCAGTTCCTGCTCACCCTCTGAGCGGCTGCCCCGGGCTCGCGGACAGAGTGAGATGCCTGAGGAGGCCGGGCGGGCGTGAGGAGCAACGAGACTGTGCTGACCGGGTCTGTGCGTCCCTTGTCCTTTGGTGTTCCAGAAACACGCGAGCGTGCCATGTTCAGATGAGCAACTAGACTTGAAGTGCTGCTTCTCGATGGCTGCTCCCAGGCTGCTGGGACCACGCCCGCCCGCCACACCTACAGGCACGAGTGTGCTGGCTCCCTCTTCTCGGTGTGCCAGAGGGGACATGACTATTCCGGCTGCAGGGTCTGAGTTGCAGCCTCGAAAGGTGGCACCGGGGCATTGCCAGTTAGAAATGAACCTCAGGCACCGTTCGTTCCCTGTTCCCCTCCCCGACGCGCCGCTCGAGCGTTGCACTTGGTTCTCACTAGCACAAGGTTATAGACACTTCGAGATAAGCCACAAGTGAAGAGAAAAGCCATGGGCTCCTCCCCAAAGAAGCCAGTAAGAAGTCCTCTCGTTGTCATCATTCGTTTCGTGTTTTACTCTGTCTCCTTTCGAAAAGCATTTGGGATGCATGATCTTAGCTCCTAAAACAGGGCCAGAGAAGTGAGACCCCTGCTGCAGAGCAGAGGCACTAGATGTGACAAAACTGTCCCTGAACGTCCCAGGACCCGACTGTCCCAGGCGGTCCCGGCCCGTTGTGCCCTTCACTGCTCGGCGTCGCTGGCAGATAATGAGGCTTGAGCTGTATAAGGGCAGCCACCACCCCACTGCCTCCCGCCAGATAATGAGGAAACCCCATCCTAGACCAAATTCTGACTTGGGAACTAAATTGTTCTCAGAAAGCAAGCACCAGAAGCTTCCAAACAACCTTGACTCTGAGCTTGAGCACCCACCAACTCTCGGTTCCTTTAGGTTCCCCCTCAACATCTTGCATGACAGAAAGAATTCATTGAAAGCAGCTGTACAAATGCAGGAGGCAGGATCCTGTCCCCTCCAGAGCGGGCATCAGACGGCAGAGTCCTCCTCCACACGCTGGACGAGGCCAGGGCACCGTCCTGAGAGTGAGAGGCAGGATGGTACCCCTGGTCGTGCAAAGCGAGGTGCCCCCCCCCCCCAGTGTACTGTATCAGTCCGTACACCTGGACCTGTTACTGTGATCACTTGAGAGTCCATTTCTAACACCCTTCATGCTAGTTGACAGGTCTCTAGTTTCTCCAGTTACAAGCCCCATATCTGAACTCATTGTGCTAAGTAGCAAAGCTTAGTAGTAGCCACAGCTCTGGTATCGGGGCTGCCGACCAGGGTCCCAGCTGCACCCCTGGGGGAACACCTTGAGAACACAGGCTCCCATTTAACCCAGGAAACACGAGCATAACATCAGACTCTATATATTCTGGTACAAATTACAGATGTCATACCAGTGAGTCAAAAATGAAACAAATCGAATTGTAGGTAGTTGTTAAATGATAATAAGTAGTCTGGAAATAGAAGCTTTTCCTGGGATTTCATATAACGTCAAATTTATCCCTCGTGTTTTTTGGAAAGGAAAAGGGCACTGCAGTAGACGACTTCTTCAAGATAAAGTTTCAAAAGATATGAAAATGTTTTGCAAATATGGCTCACATTAGTCATTCATAAAAATTTAAATCTTAAGTTAGTACAAAAGCTGTGATAAAACGGCCAGTTTATATTATTAGTTTCTGATAATCTGATGTGTCATTAGGATGGGGGTTAAAGAACCAAAAGCCTTGAGAGCTGATTGATGACTTAGACTCTCAGCCGCAATATCTGGAGCCCCTCTCCGACAGCAGCAGGCGTGAGCGATCCCGGCTGGCGTCTGTGGCCTGAACCCAAGCTGCCAGCATCCTCACCTGCTGCCTGGAGAAGTGTGCTTCCGCTTTACACCAACTGCTCCAAATAGCACTCCCTCTCCTGTGAGGAGCGAGCACGGGCGGCAGCAGTCCTAACCGCCACAGGAGTGACGCCGGCGGGACCGACCTGCAAACCACACAGTGGGCCACCCTCACGGTCCATCCCAGGCCCCTGGATGGCATTCTCCTGCCCCACAAAGACCACGCCCACAGCTCCTGAACTGCACCAGTTTGGTCACAAGTCCTTTTGCCTACAGCTCCGGCTCTCTGGAAACAGCCCAAACTTGACTAAGCTAGAAACATCTTCTTCCGGAGAAAGCCACCCACGAACGTCGCTATACCCATTAGCACCAACATGCAGAGTCGTCTGCTGGGTCCGCAGGGACGCTTCAGAGGCAGAGATGAGGCTCTGCAGAGGTTTACAGAGAGAAGGTTCCAGTGTAGCGGGAAGTCTGTCCAACAGCCTGACACGCCACCGCAGAGGCACCTGTCGGTGAGCGGGAAGTGAAGAAGGAGCCCAGGGAGGAGGAGACACTAGCAGGCTGTGGGCACAGAAGGGGCAGCCAAGGTAGGTGCGCTGAGCCGCCCGGAAGCACCTGCCGAGAGCCCGGGCTCAGGGTGCTGCCCGGGAAGCATCTGGTGCAGCTGGAGGGGCGGTCATCAGCCCAGAGACAGAAGATCTTGCAGGGGAACCGAGGATTTCACTCTCTCTCTCTTCAAAGTTCCAAAGGACATCCCAACACTGCGTCAGGCCAGGTCTCCCCTGCATTTTCTAAATAGAAAATCTGAGGAATCCGAGTCCTGAGAGGAGCCCACATCCACCTGACCACCTGAGGTTTCCGTAAGGAGGACGAAACAGGAGCAGGTGGCGTGTAACGTTTAGTCACCCTGAAAATGTGACGAGCAAAACAGAGGGAAGATGGACAGACATAAAGTCAGGGTCTCCCCTGGTTACCCCGACCGCCCCCACCACCCATCTGAATTTGCCTCAGCATCACCATCCTGCATCACCAGTGGCTCCGTCCCTTGCTCACAACCTTCCCACGTTCTGTATGTATCGCTCTTTAGCGCTGATACTGAACTCCAAGTGCAAGCCACACCATCCTTATCTGCCTCCAGAGCACGTGTTGCTCTCCTGCTGGGGAGATAAACCCTGGGAGCTCCCCTGCCTGGCTCTCAGCCAAAGGGCTCGCCGGGGAGAAGGCCACGGGTCGCATGGGCTCGGCCTGCCCCACTCCAGCGGTGTCACAGCAACCTGTGACAGCGTGTTATGGGATTTAGGATTTCTTTGGTTCTGGTTTTTGCCAAGGAAAGGATTTGTGGGTCTGTAGCTATGATTTGTTTTTATTCCTTGTGGTTCTCTTTGAGTCTGTATATAGTTTTCTTGCCACCACTGGTTTTGTCTTGCTCCTCAGACACATCCAGTTGTGTTACTTGTCAAGCAAACACAGCTCATGGTTTTCCCACATAATTTCCTTTTCAGAAGAAGCTGTTCTTATCAATAAAGTTAAATGTGTGTTTTTTCCTTTAGTTTACTGTTTACCACACCTGGAGAGCCATAAACAGTAAATACATGGTATAGCAATGCCCAGAGTAGAAGAGATAGAGTATTTTGATGAAATCCTATTTTTAGATTATAAATTTTAAAATGTGTCTATATATCTTGTTTAAAGAATTTAAAAAGACATTTAAAACGTAGACACTTTTAATTTGGGGAAACTTCTACACCCATTTTTTAAAAGCCATTCTAATGACATCGTCTGTGCAATTGGCCCAAAATACAATAAATTTCACTTTCTAGTAGAGACCAATGGGAGTTCGGGACCGTCTCTCTGTGCCCCAGCACTGACTGCCAACTCAGCAAACCAGGTGGACCTGTGCTAGTTTCTCCACTGCCCTCCTGAGCAGAGTTCATAGAGCCCATCACTCCACCCAGGCTCAGGACAGTCCACACCGCTCACGTTCCCAGCTCTGAGTGCGTGTGGAGTTTGGGGTAGAGTGGGAAATTAGAAGCTGTGTTTCAGAAAGGGCTGTAACACCATCAGGCAGCATTTAGCTGGGACCAGACCCCTCTGCGGTCTTGCTGGCAGTTTATGCTCAGGCACAGTGATGAGACATGTGGGGTGCCCTCAGGACAGGGCAGAGGGCGGGACTGGCAGCCTGCAGAGCTAGGGACCACTTGCCGCTGTCCGTGGTCCTGACCTGGTTGCTGCCTGCGGCACTGCGTGTCTGGGGCCACTGGGATACTGTTGGCTCCTGTCAGATGCTCCCACAAATTCCAAATTGGGTGAAGGAGAGCAGACTGAAGGAGAGCAAGGATGCCAGCTGCAGAGTGATGGCTTTGGAAAACAAATGCAGCACCCGCGATTCTGGGAATCCAGACAGATATGTGACCATCATCCGCCCTGTGCACTTTTCCTCTCACCAATGCTGCTTCTCTGATTTTCTTTCTCATATTTCCTCTCCCTCCCCTTCCTGTTCCCTTTCTTATTGCCTATCCTTCCCTATCCAAACACCTCTGACTCCTGAGATTCAAGTCTCAGGCAGATGTCTGCCTTGAGCTCCACTCAGCTGATCTGTGAATCAGCTGGGCGCCCAGGACCAGGCAGGAGCCCCGTGTGACTTCTTGTCCAGAGGACTTTATGAGTTCTTTTCTGGGCTCCTGGACCATGCCCACTCGGTCTGACCTTCCACCAAAGGGGACCCTGATGGGCCACAACCCTAGAAGTTTAGACCAGAGGACACCACTCCTGCAGGGAACTGCAGACAGTATCGAACTCCGGAGAAAGAAATACCTTACTTCCCAACTCAGCATTTCAAAGTCAAGTCGGAGGGACCCAATATCCTCTAAGATACAGATAAAAGACCTGGGTTCTAGGGCCTCTTTTCACACAGGCACTAGATTTCTATCACTCTGCAGTGTGTGCATCAGTAAAGACAGAAGAAAAACACTAACCCAGCAGTGCCCAGTGAACTTTCCGCTAATTTTCAGCATTTTTTAAGCAAAATGAACTTAATGAATAGTATTCTTAAGAGAAGGTTTGTACATAAAAAGCATGACTGAATGGCAATATTGTACCAATGGATGTACATTTGTAATATTTGTAAAAAAAATCCAAAATCTTAAAATATGAATTTAGATATGTTAATTTTCCTCTAAGTTCTGTACATTGCACTTCAGTGATATCTGATAAGTGAATGTTTCTGTTAAGTGAATAAAAATATCAAGTAAAATTGTGTGCCTCCGTAGGTTGTTGAGCCTTTTTTCATCGATTAGCATTCGGGGAAACTCTGTCGAATACACTGTGTAGGTTTAGAATCCATGAAGAGTCCACCCATTCCAAAGAAATGGCACACCCCACCCTACAACCCTTTTCTTTTCATAATGATTGTGCCTGTTAGTGGATCCTGCCTGATGTTACCCTTGTAGATTTTATGTAAATGAACCACCGAAAATATCACAGGGCCTGGGAATAAAAGACCCCCCAAGCCCTGACTCAACTTCTATTAATTGCATAAAATGCAACAAATCTCTCAGCAGGTGACTTGGCCCCCCCAGTTTCCTCGCTGTTAAGTGTGGGGAACAGCCAGCCCGCTGCATCACGAGCGCATAGGGGGATGGGCGGTGTTGGGGTGCTTCCGGGCTTCGAGGCGTCGAAGAGAACATTGAGATGTTCAGTCTTCCGCCCAAACGTGCCCTCACACAGAACGCACAGGTGTGGCTTGATGGCTTCCTATAGGAGACAAGGCCAGATGGGCATTGGGCCATAAGAAACACCTAAAACCTCACTCAGAGTCCTCAGCTCCACTCTACAGCATGACGCAGGGAACTTCCCACCAACACGCATGGTCCCCTTCCTGGGTCGGCTGAGGGACTTTGAAATTTCACCAATCCCAGGAGCAGAGCGAAGTCACAGACATGCTGCGCACAGGGCTGACGCTCCCAGTCAGGTTTCTTGTTGCGAGCACGCCTCTGGCCCGTCACGGCTCCTGCAAGTTCCCTCACGGGCCTCTCAGGCCGGGGTGGAGGTTCTTACATTTTGTTCAGTCTGCACTGGTTTGCCACTGACCACGGTGACACTCAGCTCAGGTGTGAACATGAATCTCGGGGTGGGTGCACGCTGGAGTGTAGGGAGATCTTAAAATCAATGCCCCAGGGACATTCTGACACGTCCTGTCACCCTCAGGTCTGGTGGGGAGCGCTGGGCAGCATCTCCTGTTTCAAGCCAGACAGTAAGTCGCCCCTAATGGAGAGGACACTTAAGGCCACAGTCACTTGTAGGGAACAGAGGGGATCTGAAAGCATAAATAAGTTTCAAGACAAAACCCAGGCATCTGAGTGCCGCGCCTCAGGAGTCAGGAGTGGGATCACCGAGCCCGAGAATTGCGTCGTCGGGTGGTAGCATTGCTTATGGCAGGAGAGTGAAAGCTCCCAGACATCGCTTCACGGTCCTCAGAAAGGACTCTAGCTGGCACCCAGACCCGCTCTCACTCAGAGGCCTCCCCTCCTACGAGAGAAGACCCCTCATTCCTGGAAATGAGCAGTCTGGTTCCTAGTCACCTCCTTGAGCTTAATGGGCCTGCATATTCACCCAGATCATTCTTCATGCCTGTCGAGTCCCCGCCTGCCCTTGCTGGGAGCACGGCGGCCTCATTTCTTGTGGCATTTTTCTTGCTTGTTGGGAATTTTTTGGGTGAAACATCAAGTTTATGATATATTGGCTCAGTAAAAGGTTTTGGTGAAGTGCACATTTCCCAAGGAGAGTAACAAGAGTCTACTCCGACTCTTGAAGCTGGGAAGGCGAGTGTGAAGCATGAAGGACACACGGCCAGGCCAGCGCAGTGATGCACGGCGCCGGGCCCCTCCGCAGCTGTTCAGTCGGGTTGCCTGGACGGCAGAAATGCACTCTGTCTGCCAAGCGAGTTTCACAAACCAGTGCCCTTACAGAGCCAGCCTTCTGGAAAAGTCTATCAACAAAGACGGAGAGTGGACAGGCCCCAGGGTAACAGCGATGGACTCGACGATGACCTGCTCCAAAGTGGTCACAACCGTGCCCTTGCCTTTCAGAATTACAAGTTAATTCTGGACTGAGCCTGGGACTGAGCTCACTAAGAAGGTCAGTATTTAACGTAGGTCCCCCAGCCGCTCAGAGCTCGAGCTCCCTACAGGGTGTTCTGAACAGCGTCTCTCCCAACCCTGGGAAACAACGTCCCTGAGCAGTTCAGAACCTGGGGAGGGGATGCTTCTGGAGTCAGGGAACCCGACGTCTCGTCCGCTCTGTGCTGGTGAGTGCTGAGGCCCAAGCAAACCGCGGCCCTGAGCATAAAATGGCTAATAGTTACCCCAGAGCAAAGAGCAATGCAGGCACAGTGAACTCTCTCAAACCAGAGGGTGCTGTGCAAACATCAGTGGCTTTTCTTCATAGACGTTGAGTGCACAGGGCAGGTGGCCCCAGTGAGCTTCTGGCAAACCAGGTCCGCTCAGAGATTTCAGGATTTCAGTAGCAAGTGCAACACAGCTCTCCAGGGTTGCAAACTACTGGAGAATGGAAGAAGGAATTGGATCCATGGCGGGGGGGGGGGGGGGGGGGGGGGGTAACTTGTCACAGAGACAAAAATGAGGCGATGCCACTTTTATAGAGCCCGAGAGAAATGAAAACATCAGGAAGATGATCAAGCATGTAAATATATTATATGTATACACAATACATAAAACAGTCTGAATGCTTCTGTCCCCAAAATTCGTGGTGAAACTTAACCCCCAAGGTGATAGTGTTAGGAGGTGGGTCTTTGGGAGCTGATGAAGTCAAGAGGGTGGCACCCCCTGAAGGGATTAGTGCCCTTATAAAGAGCCTCAGGGAGCTCCCTCGCCCTCCACCATGTAAGAGGCGAGAAGACACCTTCTGTGAACCAGAAAGAGGCTCTCAGCAGGCACTGAATCTGCCGGTGCCTTGATCTTGAACTTCTAGCCTGCAGACTGTGAGAAATGAATGTCTGCTGCTTACGCCTCCATCTGTGATGTTTGTTATGCAGCCCAAACAGATTGAGACAGAAAACAAGGGGAAGGAGGACTCAGAAAAGACCTGACGACCAGAAGTCTGTGGGCTTTGAGGGAGAAAATTCGTGACCAGTCCGGGGTGGACGTGGCACAGTGAGGTGAGTGGGGCAGGGATAGGGCAGGAGGAAGGCAAATGCAGGTGGGGATGTGGGAGAAAGGGAGAGAAATGGAGGTGTTCGTAGGAGAGCCCGGCAGGGTACTCAGCACAGGGGAAGTCGGAGGGTAGATCCTACAAGGACCAGGGCCACCAAGGGGCCTCCTGGAACTGGCCTGGCACACAAGGATGGGCAGAGGTCGCTGTGTTCCCCAGCCTTCAGAAGAGGCCACCAGGACATGGGCCCCACCGGGACAGCAATTCGGGGCTGCTTTTCAAAGAAACGAGTGTGTCCCCAGTGGCTAGTATATGGTAGGTGTTCCATAAAGATTTGCTAACAAACGAATGAGTCAGCATTTCTCTGGGTAAGGAGGGAAGGAAGAGGGACCAGGACTGAGCAAGAGAAAGCATTGAGCACTTCACATCCAGTTACACGGCGAGGAGAGAGTCGGAGACCCCCCAGCACACAGCGTGTCCTTGCCTGCAGGACTCCCCACGCCTGCACACCATCTCCCTTCGCTCTCACACACACACACACACACACACACATTTCACAGGTGCACAAAATACAAAGGCAGTGCTCTGGAGCCTCTTCCTTAGAAAACCGCCCGCTCGCCCCTGTTCTACTTGAGGAACCATCATCCTGCACAGCAAATGTCACTTCCACTTTGCTTCCCCTTCAATTGGGCTAAGTGAGTAACTGTCCCTGCGCCCAGAGCCCTGCCATCTGTCGGCACTGCCCTGGATGCAAGTGACACTCCGCAGGAGTCACCGGGTCTCTCAGGCCTGAGGTCGCAACGATCAGTTCCCATTTGTGTGAAACACCTTTACAGCCTCACTGGGAGGCTCACACAGGCTCCGGGACACACGGCTAATGATGGGCCCTGGGGAGAGCCACACAAACACAGGCACAGGCACAGGCTGTGGGCCTCACACACTGGGGTGGGGGAATGAGGGGGTAGAACAAGGACCCACAGGTCAAACCTTGGGGTTGGGGGTGTCACACTGGGGCTTGGGCCACCGTCAGCATAGGATAACTGGCTCCTTTCCCAGCAGCTCTGGCTGCAGTCCGGACGCAGCACTTGCCTGCTCTGCACATAGTCTTTGACAAAAGAGGCTTCATTACTCTCCATTTTGGTTACCTGAAATGGCTCGTTTAAGAATAAATGGTAATGTACTCTCCAATATCAAAGGAGGTCAGCCAGAGAGCCCAGGAGGGTCTGGAGGCAGAGGGGTGTGGGGCCGTCCTGAAGGTGGGGAGGATAATCCTGCTCACAGGATAGGCCCCTCCTCACCTCCCCACACGTGTTAAACACGGAGACACGTGCCCTTTCTTAGAATGCCAAGTGCAGGCCCCAAGGAGAACAGAACCCGAGTGTCACAGGCTTCGTGCCTGATTCTGGAACCCTGCCGACGGCTTCACACACTCGATGCGCAGTGAACACCCCTGTCTGTGCTCTCAGGCTGTGCGGACTCGCGCAGAGCGCCCTCCGCAGTGTTTGCAGAGCTAGTTTTCAGTGAGTCAGGGCAATTTTCCCACAGAGATCTGTGTTCACTAGCTCTGAGTCACCTATGCCACTGAACCCCAACTCTTCATCTTTTAGTAACAGAATAATACCTAAACTGAATAATTATTATGAGGAGTCAACGAGATAACGTGTAAAAAAATGGGTGTTCAAAATTGGTGCAGCCAATTTAAAATTGGAAACAGTATGAAAGTTCCTCAAAAAAATAAAAATGGAACAACCATATAACCCAGTGATTCCACTTTGGGGTATTTATCCGAAGAAATCCAAGACACTCAAATAGATATATGCATCCCTTTGTTCATTGCAGCATTATTTACAACTAGAGGCCCAGTGCACAAAGTTCATGCATGGGGATAAGGGGCCCCTCAGCCCGGCCTGCACCCTCTCGCAATCCAGAACCCCTTGGGGGATGTCTGACTGAGGGATTGGGCCTAAAGTGGCAGTGGGACATCCCTCTCACAATCCAGGACCACTGGCTCCTAACCACTCACCTGCCTGCCTGGTGCCCCTAA